TGATGTCATCGTCCCCCTCACTCCTCTCGCTCCTGGTGCTGATGTCAGAGACAGTGAGACGGTTTGTACGACCTCTGCCTCATTTAGAAGCGTCTTCCACTCACATTCTGTGAAGTTCCTCGTTTTCCCACGTGCAGACATGATTTAAGAGAGTGCAGAGAGGCGGTTCATCAGGTGCACGTTTAAATCTATGTACATATTTAGATGGAGGCGTGCTGAGGGACGAGTCATGTGCGCTCTATTCCACGTTGATTGGGACGTACACAGGAAGCGAGGATTCATGCGCACGCACGGTTTCATGCATCTGGATTTATGTGAGAGTACGCTGTTTTCTCATTTTAACTACACGCCATGTTTCAGTAGGAAATCCACACGTCTTTGTACACGAGGGCCCAGATTTATTTAAATTTTTATAATGTAAAAAGATTCGGCCCCGACTGAAACCTGTGACTATTTCAGCGTTTGTAAACTTCTTACGTTTAGTTTTAAAAAGTCAGTGATGGGATAAAAACTCAGTCATGATTATTAGTCAGGTTTAGAAGTTGGAAACTGAAAAGGAAAATTCAAGAAAGAAACTACAATAAGAATAAATTCAGAATTCTTCTATAACAATAAAAGTAAAGGAAACGTGGGATAATTTAACCTTGAAATCGTATAAGAGTTGTGCAGCTCAGCTTCTTTTGAAGCCAAACCACGTCCTCTGCAGGTTCTGACGGTTTACCTGGTCCTGTTTGCCCCAGATGACCTGCAGCGGCGCCGCGATCAGGTGCAGGTGATCCTGCAGCGAATGACGGGACTTCTCCCCCACTATCTCCAGAAACACTGCGCACAACGTACATTAAAACTGACGTTAGAAACGTGATTATTTTTACAAATTCGACAAAGTAACTGCAAATAAATAATGTTTTTAGTAACAAAGTGCCTCAAAATACAGAATAAAAACTGAAAAATCAGACAAAGTCCAAAGAAAACCTTAAAGGATCAATAACTATTGAACAAGAGTTTAATGATTACAGGAAAGTCTGTTAAGAGGGAACATGTAAAAAGTGAAACGTATTAATTTAGAACCTAAAAATGTTGTAAGTTATTGTGAACTTTTAAACTTCTTGAATAAAAATAAAATCTGCTGTGGTGTTACACCAACTTACTCTCAGATTTTAGGTCTTAAAATACATAATGTAAATATTTTATTACTTTTGAGACAGAAGGGCCTGATAATCTGTCAGCATTTACTTATAATCTGAGCTCCAGACAGAGTTCTGTTAAGGAACTGGTTGAAGGAACGACAGAACCAACAGGAAGAGGAGTTCTCTTGATGACCGACCTTCTTTGTAAAAGTCATTGTTTGGGATCCTGTTGTCGAGGAGACCCCGTCGGACCTGTCAACACAAACACAAACATCATGCAGCCGCAGAAACAACACAACGGGTCTGTGGGATAAAGTTGTGGCCCGGGGGGGCGGGGGTCCTGCACCTGCCGGGGGAGGTTGAGGGGTTTGTGGCAGCAGAGGTTCAGCATGTCGTCCAAATCCTGAAGAGACCTGGGGATGAGAGGGATGGACTCCTGCTCGATGTTCTTCTCCAGCTCCCTCAGACGGCTGATGAACTCCGAGTCCGTTGGATAAATGAGACCTGTAGAACAAAAAGGAGGAGGTTCTGAAAGAGCTCGGCTTTGAAAACACCGTCTGAAGGCGGATTGTATCTTTTTGTTTTGCTTTAGAAGACCCAAACCTTGTGACGTTGTCTTGATCAAAAGTTCTCCAGGCTTTCAGAAGGTCTTTTATAAGTTTTTATTTGGACTTTGTTTTTGTTTTTTTGCTTATTCTAAGTCAATTTTTTATTATTTCTGTGAGCAATCCCATAAAATATGAGGAAACTGACGAGTGAGGGATGAAAGGCCGAGAACCAGGCCTGTAAAAACCTCCAACCAGCAGAAGAACAAAGAAAGTCCAGTTTTAGAAACAAGAACAAAACCATTAATTCAATTCAATTAATTTCAAAATACTTTATTAATCCCAGAGGGAAATTAGATGTTGTTGTTGCTCATCATCCTGGTTTCATTAAGAGTTGTTATAGATGCTGACAGCTGTGGGCAGGCCGTCCCACAGAGGATCTGAAGAAACTGGCTGCAGATGCCGATCCGTCCATCCGGATCCAGTGGGCCTCTCGGTCCTTCTGGGCAGCAGGACCACCTGAATGTTGGGCAGAGCTCCTCCCTGCGCGATGGCCACTCCTCCCAGCAGCTTGTTGAGCTCCTCATCGTTGCAGACAGACAGCTGCAGGTGTCGGGGGATGATCCTGGTCTTCTTGTTGTCATGAGCCACATTTCCTGCCAGCTCCAGGATCTCAGCAGTCAGTCACTCGAGCACCTCCGCCAGGTAGACGGAGATGCATCCACGGCGCCTCCTTTACAACTTGTTTGGGATTTGGGGCTGTATTCGAGGTAATACTTGAGCTTTGAGATGTTAATCAGCTGTTCCTGGTTGTAAAAACCACCTTGTTGCCATGGTTACGCTTCATAACAAATGTCCAAAAGTAAAAAAGGTTTCAGTAAAAATCCTTCCAGCTGCACAGCAGGAAGTAATCATCCAAAAAAGCCATTTACATCCAGAAAAAGAGGAAATAAAGTTTTTAAAAGCAATATTCCAAAATGAAAGTAACAGCTACTCCAACATGCAGCCGCCTTGAGCGGCGCAATTCTACAACCTGAAAAACCTGACGGAGTAATCATCCATCAGCTGATCGACTGCTGAGTTTCCAACTTTTAGGAATGGACTAAAATCCTTTTTTCTGTCAAACTGCGTCTGCGTCAGGCTGCAGGGAGTAACGGTCCAAATTTAAACTAGTCTGATCTGCTTCAGCCTTTGGCTTCAGGAAACTTTTTATACCAGAATGAGCTCAAAGGTTAAAAAGTTCAGGTGAAAGACTGAATCTGAAGCAGCCAAAGTCTAAAGAAAAACTCTAAAAGACCTCCAGAAAGTCTGGAACCGTGGCTCCAGACCACTTCAGACGATTACTAACTTTAGAGTAGGATCAGGACGTTTACGCAGGATTACAGACCAGGTGCTCGCAGAGTTTACCTCCGGGACAAACCAAGGTGATGCTGGACAGGTCTGAGGGGTAACGGGCCGCATACACACCCGCCACGTTTCCACCCATCGAGGTGCCGACCAGGTGAAACGGTCTTTTGTCCAGACCGATACTCTCCACAAACTGCGCACACACAGCAAAAACATCACGTGTACAGTTATGTGTCTGTCTATGCACTATATATTATAATATATACAGTATATATATATATATATATACTGTATATATTATTATATATATAATATATACAGTATATATATA